TGAAAACATGTTTCAAGGACAGATGACACACTTATGATTACAGCCTCTGAAGTGATGGGAATATTAAATAACCTTTGGTTGGACATGTAACCACCAGGGCTGCGAAGTAAATAACTCTCTACATGGTCTTAAAACCAAACACACACAGTTCTTGTCATTAAAAATATCCATGGCCTGGTGTAGTGGGTCACACTTGTAATCCCAGCACTTTGGGAAGCCGAGGCGGGAGGATCAGTTGAGCCCAGGGGTTCGAGACCTGCCTGGGCAACATGGTGAAATGCTGTCTCTGCAAAAAATACAAAAATTAGCTGGGCATGGTGGTGTGTGCCTGTAGTCCCAGCTACACACGAGGCTGAGTCAGGGGAATCACCTGAACCTGGGAGGTGGAGGCTGCAGTGAGCCTAGATCGCATCATTGCCCTACAGCCTAGGTGACAGAGCGAGACGCCGTCTCAAAGAAAAAAAAAAAAGACACAGAGAAATCCTGAAAGCCCACATGAGCAGTTAGCAAAAGGAACCCTGATATAACAAATATGGTGATGTCCAAAAACATTAGCGACCAGGTAGTTAAACTCAGGGAGAGCTATGTATCATAAACTTAAAAACGACATTGGCCATGAGTAACACAAATATAGGTGCTACCACAGACAGTTGGTGGCCATTTCAAACTTTCTCTTCATATCTATGATGCATTCATGGGTACCCAAAACAGTGTCCTTCCATTTAGAAGCTTCCATTGGAAGGCTGAGGCAGGAGGATTGCTTGAGCCCAGGAGATCGAAATTAGTGAGTTCCTCTGTACCCCCTCTCTCCTGCCCGTCCTTCTTTCTTCCATCTCTCCCTTCCTTCCTCACTTCTTCCCTCCCTCCCTTCTTCCTTTCTTCCCTCTCTCCTTCCCTCCCTTCCTCCCTTCCTTCCTTTTTCCCTCCCTCTCTTTCTTTCTTCCTTTTTTCTTTCTCTCTCTTTCCCTCTTTCTTTCTCTCTGTCCCTCTCTCTCCCTCTCTTCTCCCTCTCTCTGTCACTCTTTCTCCCTCCCTCCCTCCCTCCCTCCTCCTTCTCTCTTTCTTCCCTTTCTTTCTTTAAGGGTGGGGTCTCAGTAAGTTGCCCAGGCTGGTCTGGAACTCCTGGTCTTAAGTGATCCTCCTGCTCCAGCCTCCCAAAGTGCTGGGATTATAAGTGTGCATGAGCCACTGTGCTCGGCCTATTTTCCATTTCCTGCTCTTCCTTCCCAGCTGATGTGCTTTTAAAACCTGATAAAAATTAATTTTTCTTTTTTTGTCTTATTCAAATAATGATTTGATTTCTGTTCTCTCTCTGGGTCGTTTCAATAACATGGACACCTACACATAGTTTTATCAGTAAAGGTCATTGGCATAATCAGCGTGTTATGAGAACAAAGATAGTTCCTCATTTAAGCTGCTCCATTACTCATTTTATAAGGCAAAGAAGGAAGAGGACAGTGTCCTGCGTTTTTAGATGGCTGTTGAAATGAGTCAGAGTGACGGTGAGCAGCATGCATTGAATTCTAGCTGGAAACAGGATTTTTAGGCCCACCTTTATGCCTGCTATGAACAAATAAGGCTGGAAACCTATAGGCCCTGGAGAACAGGAGTCAGGAACCTGCTTTCCCTGATAGCTTCTTGATCAACGAAATGATGAATGTGCAGCCTGCAGCCCTGAGCAAAGGCCTGGCAGCTCCGTGGCTGAGCCCTGGAGGGCTGAGCTGGGCCAGGGCTCCTAGCAGTGTGTTCAGGAGCACTGGGGACCACAGTGGGTGCCAGTCCAACCCTCGCTTTCTTTGCGAGTGTTTCTGACACGTCTGCAGACTGCAGAAGCCTGGCTGCCCCCTGAGTTCAGTGTCCTGGAGCAAGCCTGTGGGGGAATCATGCCCCCCTCCCCGACTCTAGTGCCCATAGGGGACATGGAGGAGGGACCTGATTTGCAGTTAGGGTTTGCGTGCTGTTTGTAAGCTGGGTTTCCTCTTTGGGTTCCACAGTGCTGAGATCTGAGCCCGAGGCAGTTGGGAAATTAATGATGAGATAGAGGTGGCTTTGCTGTGTTCCATATCTATCAGACTGCTCCGCCTGGGGAGATGCCCCCCTTGCTTGGGATGTTGGGCTTGGGTAGGGGTTCTGGAATGTCTCTCCTCAAGCGGGCTCTGCCCCCTTGGCTCCCTTGGTGCAGAGAGCAGCGCAGGGGCTTTGTTGAGGAGCAGCCCCTGCAGAGCTGCTCACATGTGACAGGCTGTGGCTGAATGGTGGACAACCCTGGTCGTCTACATTAGCATGGTGCAGTAGAGCCTTCTTACATGTTCCGTGGTTCCCACTACCCTTTCTCATGGTTGGGTGTCCTGACTGTCTTGTGGCCAGACTATGCCAGTTTGATCAGCACCCTTTCCAGAACCCCTGAAAGAGGGTCATAAATTGAGATGTTTATCACCACTCCTGTCCATTGCAGAGTCACATACACGCTAGTGATCAGCTCCTCCTTGATGCAATCTGAGGACGTCATCTGCTAGTCGTTACAGGGAGAGGAAGGACAATAAAAAGATGAAAGAGAGTGCTGTCTCTGGTAATGGCAGTTACTCATCATTGTACCAGTGGGCAGCCATATAGGGATAGGTTGGAGGAGAAAGGGGAAAGCGTGAATTTAAAAATGCTGACATTTGTGAGGCTGAGAGAAGAACAGAACTATCACTGCTGGTCAAGGTGGCCATCCAGTTAAAATGTTCACATCCTGTTTCACCCACGAGCTGGCCAAGATCATCTCATAAAGGGACGAACGTTGCTCCCAGAAAGAATGCATTCTCATCTTGAGTCACGGCTGTCTCATTTGATGTCAGACTTCTTAGGCACTGCTCTGGCCGGGCGAGATGGCTCATGCCTGTAATCCCAGCACTTGGAAGCTTGAGGCCGGTGGATCACCTGAGGTCAGGAGTTTGAGACCAGCCTGGCTGACATGGTGAAACCCTG